TGATGTAGAAGAGACATGGAGAAGAGGGGACACATGTTGATGTAGAAGAGACAGGAGAAGAGGGGACACATGTTGATGTAGAAGAGACATGAAGAAGAGGGGACACATGTTGATGTAGAAGAGACATGGAGAAGAGGGGACACATGTTGATGTAGAAGAGACATGGAGAAGAGGGGACACATGTTGATGTAGAAGAGACATGGAGAAGAGGGGACACATGTTGATGTAGAAGAGACATGGAGAAGAGGGGACACATGTTGATGTAGAAGAGACATGGAGAAGAGGGGACACATGTTGATGTAGAAGAGACATGAGAAGAGGGGACATTGATGTAGAATATGTAGAAGGGGACCATGTTGATGTAGAAGAGACATGGAAGAAAGGGGACACATGTTGATGTAGAAGAGACATGAAGAAGAGGGGACACATGTTGATGAAGAAGGGACAGGAGAAGAGGGGACACATGTTGATGTAGAAGAGACATGAAGAAGAGGGGACACATGTTGATGTAGAAGAGACTGATGAAGAAGAGGGGACACATGTTGATGTAGAAGAGACATGAAGAAGAGGGGACACATGTTGATGTAGAAGAGACATGGAGAAGAGGGGACACATGTTGATGTAGAAGAGACATGGAGAAGAGGGGACACATGTTGATGTAGAAGAGACATGAAGAAGAGGGGACACATGTTGATGTAGAAGAGACATGAAGAAGAGGGGACACATGTTGATGAAGAAGAGACATGAAGAAGAGGGGACACATGTTGATGTAGAAGAGACATGAAGAAGAGGGGACACATGTTGATGTAGAAGAGACATGAAGAAGAGGGACACATGTTGGTGTAGAAGAGACATGAAGAAGAGGGGACACATGTTGATGTAGAAGAGACATGAAGAAGAGGGGACACATGTTGATGTAGAAGAGACATGAAGAAGAGGGGACACATGTTGATGTAGAAGAGACATGAAGAAGAGGGACACATGTTGATTGTAGAAGAGACATGAAAGAAGAGGGGACACATGTTGATGTAGAAGAGACATGGAGAAGAGGGGACACATGTTGATGTAGAAGAGCCATGAAGAAGAGGGGACACATGTTGATGTAGAAGAGACATGAAGAAGAGGGGACACATGTTGATGTAGAAGAGACATGGAGAAGAGGGGACACGTGTTGATGAAGAAGAGACATGAAGAAGAGGGGACACGTGTTGATGTAGAAGAGACATGAAGAAGAGGGGACACATGTTGATGTAGAAGAGACATGAAGAAGAGGGGACACATGTTGGTGTAGAAGAGACATGAAGAAGAGGGGACACATGTTGATGTAGAAGAGACATGAAGAAGAGAGGACACATGTTGGTGTAGAAGAGACATGAAGAAGAGGGGACACATGTTGGTGTAGAAGAGACATGAAGAAGAGGGGACACATGTTGATGTAGAAGAGACATGAAGAAGAGGGGACACATGTTGATGTAGAAGAGACATGAAGAAGAGGGGACACATGTTGATGTAGAAGAGACATGAAGAAGAGGGGGACACATGTTGATGAAGAAGAGACATGAAGAAGAGGGACACATGTTGATGAAGAAGAGACATGAAGAAGAGGGGACACATGTTGATGTAGAAGAGACATGTGGAAGAGGGGACACATGTTGATGTAGAAGAGACATGAAGAAGAGGGGACACATGTTGATGTAGAAGAGACATGAAGAAGAGGGGACACATGTTGGTGTAGAAGAGACATGAAGAAGAGGGGACACATGTTGATGTAGAAGAGACATGAAGAAGAGGGGACACATGTTGATGTAGAAGAGACATGAAGAAGAGGGGACACATGTTGATGAAGAAGAGACATGAAGAAGAGGGGACACATGTTGATGTAGAAGAGACATGAAGAAGAGGGGACACATGTTGATGTAGAAGAGACATGAAGAAGAGGGGACACATGTTGATGTAGAAGAGACATGAAGAAGAGGGGACACATGTTGATGTAGAAGAGACATGAAGAAGAGGGGACACATGTTGATGTAGAAGAGACATGAAGAAGAGGGGACACATGTTGATGAAGAAGAGACATGAAGAAGAGGGGACACATGTTGATGTAGAAGAGACATGAAGAAGAGGGGACACATGTTGATGTAGAAGAGACATGAAGAAGAGGGGACACATGTTGATGTAGAAGAGACATGAAGAAGAGGGGACACATGTTGATGTAGAAGATACATGAAGAAGAGGGGACACATGTTGATGTAGAAGAGACATGAAGAAGAGGGGACACATGTTGATGTAGAAGATACATGAAGAAGAGGGGACACATGTTGATGTAGAAGAGACATGAAGAAGAGGGGACACATGTTGATGTAGAAGAGACATGAAGAAGAGGGGACACATGTTGATGTAGAAGATACATGAAGAAGAGGGGACACATGTTGATGTAGAAGAGACATGAAGAAGAGGGGACACATGTTGATGTAGAAGATACATGAAGAAGAGGGGACACATGTTGATGTAGAAGAGACATGAAGAAGAGGGGACACATGTTGATGTAGAAGAGACATGAAGAAGAGGGGACACATGTTGATGTAGAAGATACATGAAGAAGAGGGGACACATGTTGATGTAGAAGAGACATGAAGAAGAGGGGACACATGTTGATGTAGAAGATACATGAAGAAGAGGGGACACATGTTGATGTAGAAGAGACATGAAGAAGAGGGGACACATGTTGATGTAGAAGAGACATGAAGAAGAGGGGACACATGTTGATGTAGAAGATACATGAAGAAGAGGGGGACACATGTTGAGGTAGAAGAGACATGGAGAAGAGGGGACACATGTTGATATAGAAGAGACATGAAGAAGAGGGGACACATGTTGATGTAGAAGAGACATGAAGAAGAGGGGACACATGTTGATGTAGAAGAGACATGAAGAAGAGGGGACACATGTTGATGTAGAAGAGACATGAAGAAGAGGGGACACATGTTGATGTAGAAGATACATGAAGAAGAGGGGACACATGTTGATGTAGAAGAGACATGAAGAAGAGGGGACACATGTTGATGTAGAAGAGACATGAAGAAGAGGGGACACATGTTGATGTAGAAGAGACATGAAGAAGAGGGGACACATGTTGATGTAGAAGAGACATGAAGAAGAGGGGACACATGTTGATATAGAAGAGACATGGAGAATAGGGGACACATGTTGATGTAGAAGAGACATGAAGAAGAGGGGACACATGTTGATGTAGAAGAGACATGAAGAAGAGGGGACACATGTTGATGTAGAAGAGACATGAAGAAGAGGGGACACATGTTGATGTAGAAGAGACATGAAGAAGAGGGGACACATGTTGATGTAGAAGAGACATGAAGAAGAGGGGACACATGTTGATGTAGAAGAGACATGAAGAAGAGGGGACACATGTTGATGTAGAAGAGACATGAAGAAGAGGGGACACATGTTGATGTAGAAGAGACATGAAGAAGAGGGGACACATGTTGATTTAGAAGAGACATGAAGAAGAGGGGACACATGTTGATGAAGAAGAGACATGAAGAAGAGGGGACACATGTTGATGTAGAAGAGACATGAAGAAGAGGGGACACATGTTGATTGTAGAAGAGACATGAAGAAGAGGGGACACATGTTGATATAGAAGAGACATGAAGAAGAGGGGACACATGTTGATGTAGAAGAGACATGAAGAAGAGGGGACACATGTTGATGTAGAAGAGACATGGAGAAGAGGGGACACATGTTGATGTAGAAGAGACATGAAGAAGAGGGGACACATGTTGATATAGAAGAGACATGAAGAAGAGGGGACACATGTTGATTGTAGAAGAGACATGAAGAAGAGGGGACACATGTTGATGTAGAAAGAGACATGAAGAAGAGGGGACACATGTTGATGTAGAAGAGACATGAAGAAGAGAGGACACATGTTGATGTAGAAGAGACATGAAGAAGAGGGGACACATGTTGATGTAGAAGAGACATGAAGAAGAGGGGACACATGTTGATGTAGAAGAGACATGGAGAAGAGGGGACACATGTTGATGTAGAAGAGACATGGAGAAGAGGGGACACATGTTGATGTAGAAGAGACATGAAGAAGAGGGGACACATGTTGATGTAGAAGAGACATGAAGAAGAGGGGACACATGTTGATGTAGAAGAGACATGGAGAAGAGGGGACACATGTTGATATAGAAGAGACATGAAGAAGAGGGGACACATGTTGATGTAGAAGAGACATGAAGAAGAGGGGACACATGTTGATATAGAAGAGACATGAAGAAGAGGGGACACATGTTGATATAGAAGAGACATGAAGAAGAGGGGACACATGTTGATGTAGAAGAGACATGAGGAAGAGGGGACACATGTTGATGTAGAAGAGACATGAAGAAGAGGGGACACATGTTGATGTAGAAGAGACATAAAGAAGAGGGGACACATGTTGATATAGAAGAGACATGAAGAAGAGGGGACACATGTTGATGTAGAAGAGACATGAAGAAGAGGGGACACATGTTGATGTAGAAGAGACATGTAGAAGAGGGGACACATGTTGATGTAGAAGAGACATGAAGAAGAGGGGACACATGTTGATGTAGAAGAGACATGAAGAAGAGGGGACACATGTTGATGTAGAAGAGACATGGGGAAGAGGGGACACATGTTGATGTAGAAGAGACATGAAGTAGAGGGGACACATGCTGATGTAGAAGAGACATGTGTCCCCTCTACACAGAGGGGACACATGTTGATGTAGAAGAGACATGAAGAAGAGGGGACACATGTTGATGTAGAAGAGACATGTAGAAGAGGGGACACATGTTGATGTAGAAGAGACATGGGGAAGAGGGGACACATGCTGATGTAGAAGAGACATGTGTCCCCTCTACACAGAGGGGACACATGTTGATGTAGGAGAGACGTGAAGAAGTGGATATTGCATGATAGGTGACCTCTAACTCCTCCCCCCTCAGGAGCCTCCCGGTCACGATGACCCAGCAGATGCAGAACCTGCAGCTGACTCAGAGCAGGAAGTGCCCCGGAGGCCCCGCCTCCCCCAGCGCCGCCAAGCGCCTCTACAGGAACCTGTCGGAGAAGCTGAGAGGAAGCACCGCCTCCTTCGAGGACACCTACTTCTTCGGGAAGACCGACCGCCTCCGAAAAGCCTCGGTGAGTCGCTTTATCGATGTGACTGTGGGGAATCACAACATAAACACACCAGAGATAGTTCATACAAAGCAAACACACTGAGACCCGCTGAGGAAGAGAAGCTGTTCACTTGTTACTCAAAACAGAGAGACTCCTTCTGTGACCAGCAGACTCTGCAGAAAGCAGAGAGGACACTGGCCTCTCCAGGTCGTCTTCAGGTCAATTTCATCTGTTGCTATCAGGGTGTAGATATTCTCCACCTGCTCTTAAGACAAATCGCTGTTCAAAATCATTCATCCCCTCTGCACCCAACTTTCAATTCTTGATTGTTTTTTGATTGATTGATTGATTGATTGATTGATTGATTGATTGATTGATTGATTGATTGATTGTGATGCTCTGAACTATGTATGGTGTAAATGTGAATGATCCACATCCAGGTGTGTTCATGACACCAGCTGCTCATAACCAATCGCCCCTTGCAGGGTTAACCCAGTTGTTGATTGATTGATGAAAGGAGTAGAACGTTTTCCATCTTGGTTCAGATTTCTTGTTCGCAACTAAACCCGTGGTGCAAAACCTTATACCTTTATTGCCCTAATTGATGACACTTTATTGGCGTATCAATAGTGCAGGACTTGCATCAATAAAGTGGGAAATTAATCAATCAATCGGAAAATAAAATATATGGATAGTGCGGAAAAGGTTTATCAGATGTATCAGTAGCGCAGGAAAATCTATCACTTATAAAATTCATGGTATTGTATACATGTTACATATATCAGACATGTAACCCAACCCCCACGGGAGAAATGAAGGGTGAAGTGTCTTGCTCAAGGGCACAACCGCATGCTGACTGCAGTGACGATCAATGAGGGATTGAACCGGTGCTTCCCTTGTTCCCTTATCTGAGAATCAGCGCTCTAACCACTGCGCCAAAACCGCACCATGATAGTGCGGAAAGTGTGTCAAAAGTGCAGGAAAAAGAGTATCAACACCAACAGTACCTCAGGATGATTCTCACTCCGTCTGCAGCTTCGTCTCGTGTTCTTCTTCCTGGAGGATAGAAAGGAGTAAACAGTGTGGGGGTGAACCCTGTGTCAGGAGGAAGATCAATAAAGATCTGCTTTCAATAATCCAGTTAACATCCTGAACCCTCTATTAGATCTCTGACCCAATTTAGAGACAATGGACGTCCATTCTCGGGAGACGTCTGACAGTGGTGCGGTTACCCAAAGTGACAGACCTAATTTGACCTCTATTTAGAGGCAATGGACGTCCACTCTCGGGAGAGAGACCTCCAGCATGTGTCCCTGAAATGGGGACTCAGGTTATTTCACACATCCAGGACAGAGACTGGGGAAATCACCTCTCTGTGGCCCCTCAAAGAGCCCCAAAGGACGGACTAATGACCTCCAGCATGTGTCCCTGACATGGACACCTCCATAACATCGCACACCGTGAGTCCCCGGGCCCCCGGACTTAAGCACTCCCCCACGGACTAAACCCAGATGATCACACCCTACAGAACCTCATGCCCCTGGTAACACTTAAAGGGTCTTGAGAGGGGTCTCACTACCGGAGGCTGCTGGGGACCACATGAGAGTCTTGAGAGGGGTCTCATTACCGGAGGCTGCTGGGGACCGCATGAGAGTCTTGAGAGGGGTCTCACTACCGGAGGCTGCTGGGGACCACATGAGAGTCTTGAGAGGGGTCTCATTACCGGAGGCTGCTGGGGACCGCATGAGAGTCTTGACCGGGGTCTTGTCTTGAGAGGGGTCTCACTACCGGAGGCTACTGTGTTTATGCCGGAGGTACTTGAGATTGCCAGGCCCTTAAATCGTATACATTCTTCCTCTTCCTCAAGCACAGCAGCAGTGGCACTCTGCTTCCTGGGTTTTAGCCCATTTTTCAGCCTGGAGCGCAGGGTCTTCACCTCATCATTGAGGGCATCCTTCTGAGCCCTCAATGCCACATTTTCCAGCATCACCTGCCTGCAGTCCTCTTCGTCACACTCAGTATGTGGGGTGGAGGGTGCACCGGGTATTCCTCCTCATTGTCTATATCCAATGATGTAGCCATTCCAATGATGGGATTAGTCTCTCTGAGGTCATGGAGCAACTGCAGGGCCACACTATGCTTCAGCCTTGCCATGACCTGATGTGCTTCATCTCGGGATAACTCAGGGTGGTCATGAGTTACATGACGGTCCAGTTTCTTCCCAGCATACGAACACCCTGTGATGGGACAGGGTTTGGTCCGAACATTTATTCTGCCACTGGCCATTTTAAGAATGATGCCTCTTTCCTCCAAGTTCCGCACTGCATGTTTGTGCTTAAGGTGCTTGTTCAAAGCCAGATAGAAGAGTCTGCACACCGGGCATTCGGACGACATCCTTCCTGAAACAGACACAGTGAATTGTATTTAAATTATTTTGTGTTTCTCCGTTTATATGCGTTAGCGTAACCGGTGATTGCAACAATGGGTCCGATGCTTCAATGCCTGGTACACGGACCAAGGGAGGACTTGGGTTACCACCGGGTTAAATGGTCCCACCTCCGCACCAACGCGGGGCTGGTGATGGCAACATTGGGTCCGATGCATCAATTCATGGTGCCCCGACCATGAGAGGGTTTGGGTGCCGCAGAACACGGCAGTACCCCAGCAGGAAACACGTTTTATGGTCAAAGGAGGAAAGAGTGATAGAACCGGGGTAAAGCAAAGAAAATGTCCGACAATAGTGACTTGTGAGGCGGCCAGAGAGTCTGTCATCTCTCGGTCCTATCCTCCAGGCAATGCGGTACCAGAACTGGGTCAAATTGACCAAAATGTAAAACAAATAAGTTTCAATTCATCCATCCAAGGGGCATAACGTGAAACCCGCAGGTCCCCACCAACCCGTTCACGTATCTAACAGATATTCCCCACTCAGCGAGACACCCGCTGAGAAGCCAACTCTGGTTATTGGTAGCTCTATTATGAGACACGTGAAATTAGAGACCGAAGCCTCCACAGTCACATGCATTCCGGGGGCCAGAGCGGGCGACGTTGAGGCGCATCTTAAACTGCTGGCTAAAAATAAACGTAAATACAGTAGGATTGTTATTCACGTCGGTGGTAATGATGTTCGTATACGCCGATCAGAATGCACCAAACTTAATGTGGAGTCGGTGTGTAGTTATGCTAAAACAATGTCGGACACCGTAATCTTCTCTGGTCCCCTCCCCAATCTGATCAATGATGACATGTATAGCCGCATGTCATCATTTCAGCGCTGGTTGTCTTGGTGGTGCCCAGCAAACAATGTGGGCTTCGTAAATAATTGGACAGCCTTCTGGGGAAAACCTGGTCTGATTAAGAGAGACGGCATTCATCCTACTTTGGAAGGTGCCGATCTCATTTCGGCAAACATTTCAGGGCTTTGTGGACTTAATCCATGACAAACTGGAGTTGAGACCAGGAGGCGGAGTCGCAGTCTTACACGCTTCTCTGCGCTCTCTCCTAGGCAGTCATCCATAGGAATCCCGAACCCAATAAAATACCCAATATTAGCGGTGTGTGTGTCTGCCCAAGGACAAGTTAAGGTAAAACCTAATAGAGGTGTCATACATAATAACCTAATCAAAGTAAATGTAACAACTACTACAGTGCAACAAAACAGGAAGATTAAATGTGGTCTCTTAAACATAAGATCTCTAGCATCTAAAGCAATATTGGTAAATGATTTAATATCAGATTATAATATTGATATATGCTGTCTCACTGAAACTTGGTTGAGACATGAAGAATATGTCAGCATAAATGAGGCCACTCCACCCAGCCATATCAATACTCATATTGCCCGAGGCACGGGCCGAGGAGGTGGAGTTGCAGCCATCTTTGACTCAAGTTTACTTATCAATACTAAACCAAAATTAAATTATACCTCCTTTGAAAGTCTCGTTTTTAGTCTTACGCATCCGACCTGGAAAACTTTGCAGCCAATCTTATTTGTTACAGTGTACCGTGCACCAGGTCCTTATTCAGAATTCTTATCTGAATTCTCTGAGTTTTTATCAACTTTGGTTCTTAAAACAGATAAAGTCATTATCGTAGGTGACTTTAATATTCATGTTGACGATGATAAAAATAGCCTTACTGTTGCATTTAACTCTATATTAGATTCTGTTGGTTTCCGTCAGAGTGTAAATAAACCAACCCACTGCTATAATCACACTCTCGACCTTGTTCTGACTTATGGTATTGAAATTGAGCAACTATTAGTCGAACCGCATAATCCTGCTTTATCCGACCATTTCTTAGTAACTTTTGAAGTACTGTTACGAGACTACAAAGCATTAGTCAAAAGCTCCTGCAGCAGAAACCTATCTGTTAGTGCTATAGCCACATTTAAGGAAGAGATTCCACCAATACTTAACTCGATAGCATGTCTGCATGTAAGGCAGGAAACTTATACAAAATGTACACCACCCCAAATTGATCATGTTGTTGATAGTGCTACAGATGCGCTGCGAATAAAATTAGACTCTGTTGCTCCTTTGAAAAAGAAGAAAATAAAACAACATAGACTAGCTCCATGGCATAATGCCCAAACCCGCCAAATAAAGCAAAAGTCGAGACAACTTGAAAGGATATGGCGTTCTACTAAACTTGAAGAATCTCGTTTAATTTGGCATATTACTCTCAATGAATATAAGAAAGCATTGCGTAAAGCGAGAGCAGCTTACTACTCTTCATTAATAGATGAGAATAAGAATAATGCAAGATTTCTTTTCAGCACTGTAGCCAGGCTGACAGAGAGCCACAGCTCGATTGAGCCTTCTATTCCCATAGCACTCAGTAGTAATGATTTTATGTGCTTTTTTAACGATAAAATTGTTACTCTTAGAAACAAAATTAATGACCTCTTGCCTTTGACCAGTATAGTGTTATCAACAGCTCCCGGAAACGTAAGTTCTAATATTACACTAGATAGTAAACTAGAATGCTTTTCAGCCATAAACCTTGAACAATTAAATTCA